GAAACTTCTTCATATAACTTTTAAAATAAGGTATAAATCGAATTTTAACTTGATTCATAATAATATAATTTATAATATTTAAGAGGTTATAAATTCGATCGTATATTATAAATTTTTACCTAAAATTTCTTTTACTTTGACAAACCAATATCTAATAATTTGAATACAACTATAACATAAAATATATCATAGGCAAAATTAATTTTTTTTAAAGTTTTAAATTTAATAATTTCAAATATTACATGGTTATAGGACATGAAAATAAAACAAAAAAATATGTGAATATACAAACATATCAAATCACGATAAAACAAAGAGAAAATCGCCTCAGTGACAAAAAATGCCTTATAATATACGATTTTAACCAACTTTTTTTGGATTTGCCAAAATGACCAATAAAATCGCAACGCGATATCAAAATCGCAACGCGATTTAGAAAATCGCAACGTTAAAAAGAAAATCGCAACGGTCAAAAGAAAATCGCAACGCGAGCTTCCAAGTTCGCAACGCGATTTAGAAGAAAATCGCAATGCGATTGATAGAATCGCAATGCGATTGAGAGAGTCGCAACGCGATTTAGAAGAAAATCGCAATGCGACTGAGAGAATCGCAATGCGATTTATAGAATCGCAATGCGATTGAGAGAATCGCAACGTTAAAAAGATAGTTAAAAGATTTTTGTTTCTTAAGAATTTTCTCTAAAAAGATAGTATCCGCGCGGACGTGTCGAAGACACGTATTACCACGACCACGACCACGACCACGACCACGACCACGACCACGACCACGACCACGACCACGACCACGACCACGACCCGACCCGACCCGACCCGACCCGAGACGAGACGGCGGCGGCGGCGGCCACGAGAGTCCCCCTTGTCCTCTTTCACTCAACAAGGAAGTGCAAAATACAAGCCTTAAATACCATTCCCAATAGTATTTCCAATACTATGTGGGATTGAGCATTACCAACACTTGTTCCAAATATCATTATTCTTCATAAGTTATCATCCATTACAATATGAATTAGTCGTGTTAATGAACCAATATACCTCATTAATATGGTATTGTTGAACAAAAGAATGATGATGATGATCTTATTAAAGACCATCTAATACGAAAGAATCCAATGCATAACCGATACCTTATTGTGAAACTAATTCACATAGAGGTTGTACGTGAAAAAAAAATCTTTTACTTTTATAGTAAATATCTATCTCAATAATTTTAATATAAAAAATATATTTTTTATTTAATAATAGAATTATTTCATGTATTTATCAAGTTATAATTTTAAATACTTATTAAAATGAATTAATTTATTATCGATAATTCATATTGTAATGGATGATAACTTATGAAGAATAATGATATTGGGAACAAGTGTTGGTAATGCTCAATCCCACATAGTATTGGAAACACTATTGGGAATTATATTTAAGGCTTGTATTTTGCACTTCCTTGTTGAGTGAAAGAGAACAAGGGGGACTCTCGCGCGCCGCCGCCGCCGTCGTCTCGTCTCGGGTCGGGTCGTGGTCGTGGTCGTGGTCGTGGTCGTGGTCGTGGTCGTGGTCGTGGTCGTGGTCGTGGTCGTGGTCGTGGTCGTGGTCGTGGTCGTGGTCGTGGTCGTGGTCGTGGGTGGTCGTGGTCGTGGTCGTGGTCGTGGTCGTGGTCGTGGTCGTGGTCGTGGTAATACGTGTCTTCGACACGTCCGCGCGGATACTATCTTTTTAGATAAAATTCTTAAGAAACAAAAATCTTTTAACTATTGCGATTCTCTCAGTCGCATTGCGATTTTCTTCTAAATCGCGTTGCGACTCTCTCAATCGCATTGCGATTCTATAAATCGCATTGCGATTTTCTTCTAAATCGCGTTGCGAACTTGGAAGCTCGCGTTGCGATTTTCTTTTGACCGTTGCGATTTTCTTTTTAACGTTGCGATTTTCTAAATCGCGTTGCGATTTTATTGGTCATTTTGGCAAATCCAAAAAAAGTTGGTTAAAATCGTATATTATAAGGTATTTTTGGTCACTGAGGCGATTTTCTCTAAAACAAATTATAAACATATCTCCACATACAATGCCTTGAATGTTAATACTATTAGTTATCTCCTTAAATATAGAAATGTGAGTTACCTCAAACAAAAATGAGTTGTCCCTATTTCGAGAACAAGAGTGTAAAATTATTATAAAAAATGAGTCTAGTGATGGGTTAAAGAAATCTTATACTCAATTTATAAAATAGGAAATATAAAATATTGTATCATTAATATTTTAATTTTAGTTTTATTTCTAATTTCTATTATAATAATGTTGGCTCAATATGGGTGTGAATGAGCAAAAGAAATTGAAAACCATTGTAATTGGAGGAGAAATTAGAAACAATGGTAGGTAGGTGAAAGGCCCAATAATAGAAAGAGTTGAAGAAGCAAAAAAAGAAAATGAATGGGGTGAGAGAGGCTCGAACTCTCGACCTCAGGATTACTCAATTTCATGCTATGAGACCTACGCGCTAGCCAACTGCGCCACCACCCCTTTGAAGTTTAATGATTGTTGTATTTGTAAACAAAACATATGATTTTGGCCAACTTGAATGCGAAGGCCTAAAGTGATAAGAAGGTGGTAAACTATTTTTAGTCATTCAATTTTGTTCATATTTCTGTTTTGACTACTCAAATTCAAAAAATTGTCAATTTCATAATTTAACTTTCAAAATAAAATTTTTAATCACTCCATCGTTAATTTTTTTAACATTGTTATATCATGACATCTTATTTTATATGGAAAACTCCAAAAATTTCCTTCTAATTTTCTGAAAAGATCATTGAAATTTTTCTCGAAAAGTTTCAACTTAGTTTTTCAAGTTCTTTTGTATTCTTTAATGTTGGAGCATTTCTTTCAAACCCCATCGTGGGAAAGATGGATACGGAAAAGATGTACGATATATTTTGATTCTAATATGATTAGACGATGAAGATAGTGGATTTTATTCGTTTTCTTCCAAATTTTAGATTGAAGCATTTTAAGTTTTAAAGAGATTTTAAAAAAAAAAAATAATCTAATAGAATTGTAAGGGAAGATGAAATAATTTTGTTAATGTCTAGAGTGGTCATAAAAGATATCAGATAATATCGGTTTTAACGGTAGCATGACTTGAGGAGAACATTCTTTCTTTTGTTTTTTTTAATAATCAATGACGATTAGAAAGTATTATTTGTTCATAATTTCAACGACCGATTGATCACCCTTGATTATTCAAAAAATAATCTAACATCAAACTTTAAAAATGATTTTGATACATTTGATTGATATCGGTATCAGTTAAAGAGTATCAATATTCTAGTGACTAGTATCTATACACATCCCATAAAATATATAAAATGGTAATTGGTGCTTGTATTTTGTATGATGTGCTTGTGTACCCATATGTTTGATGTGTTATGCAATTTGGTCCTTGTTGTTTGGTTACATGTTTGCATTAGGCAAAGCCTTAAGGAACCGGCAACCTTTGAAAGCCAATGATGCATACTTCTCCCCACGTCATGTTTACCCGTAACCGACGCTATTTTAACCTCCACCCTCCAACTTTTCCCCTTTTCAGTCCACTTTCCTTTGATAAACAATTGCTGTTCACTTTCGCCCTATTGTATTGCTTACGTCTAGAATTTGCATACTCATTGAAGTGAATGGATGCTTATTTTTTTAAGAAAATAATTTATTTTTAAATAAAAATAGAACAATACTTAATTAATTATTTAAAAAACTAACATTTCCATTGTGTGATCATTATAATCTATAGCATTATGAAATAATTAATTTGAGTTTGTTTTTACTCACAAGTAATTTAAATTAGAATTATTAAATTATCTCATCTTAACGGATATTGATTAAAGATATTTATAGAATTTGGATTCTATAGGTTCTGATTTGAACTTATAAGATCGTAATTTTATCTTTAAAAAATTTGAGGTCATATCAAGTATTTTTAAAGATAAAGTCGGGTTTGAGTTTAAGGAGAAAAGTTCTTAATTCAACTCGACCTGTGATGATAGTATAATTAATCGTATATATTTAGAAGTAATTACAATAATACACATATTTATATATATTTCAATTAGGTCCTTATTTTTGTAGAATGAAAATGAGAAATATATATTTGTTTCAATTCGGGTGTGAGTTTTTACCATAAAATTGAATCAAATTTTGGGTCGGGTGGAGCCTTTCTAAACCTTGGTTGGGTCAAGAAGGGTCGGGTTTTTCTTCTTCTTGAAATTCAGATTTGAGTCAAGTTTTATGAAAGATAAAGTCGGGTTAGATTTAATTTTAGGGTGAATTTTTTTATTTGGCCTAATATGAGATTATATTATAATTCATCTCTATATATGTAGAGATAATTAGTACGATACACATATTTTTATATATTTTAAATTATCTCTCTATTTTGTCAAATAAAACCAAAAAAATATTTGTATTATGTCAGAAATAATAATTTATAGAATTTTCTTAACCTCAACTCAAATTGAATATAAGATGATAGAATATATTATTCAAATCAGAGTTCCGTTAATAAAAATTCGACCCGTAACCATTTCTAATTCTAATCCATTAGGACCCAAGAGTTTTCTACTGATTTGATTTCTTGCAATAATTTTCTAAATTGAATTCAGGTTATTAAAAATATAATTTGAATAAAATTTTAAATTAAATATTATTATATATTTAAACATTCTAAAATACAATTTTTAAGAAATTATAACAATAATAATGTAAATTTAAATAAAATTATTAGATTAAATAAACAATTTATTTTATATAAATGTAATAGATTAGTAAATGATTATAATAAATATGAATGACGAAATGGGAAATTAAAACTATATTCTACACCCATTTTATTACAATTAAAATATTCTCAGAGAGGGAACAGTACTCGTCTGTTTCTGGTTTTATAGTATCCCATCTTCCACAATTACGTATTACATATTTTTCAGTCATCGATAATGGCTGCCAAGTTCTTCGTCTCTTCTTCTTCTTCTTCATCTTCAAATCTCATCTTCAACATTCTCCCTGGCATTACAAGAGAACTCATCGGCCACGACTCACACGGGTCAGATCAATTCCAACTCAGTCCTGGTGGCTTTGTTGGACTCGCATTACACTGAGCTTGCCGAGTTGGTGGAGAAAGCTTTGCTGTTGCAGACCCTCGAAGAAGCTGTTGGTAAACACAATATCACCATTTTTGCTCCTAAGAATGAAGCTCTCGAGCGGGATCTCGACCCGGAGTTCAAGCGCTTCTTGCTCGAACCCGGTAATCTCAAGTCCCTCCAAACTCTCTTGCTTTATCACATTGTGCCCGCCAGGATCAATCCCCATTCGGATTTAACCCACCACTGTACGCTATCGCACGACCGAGTTGAACTCACCGGCGATGATTCCTTCGGTGTTAGATTCATCGGTACGGCTAGAGTCATTGCCCCCAACGCCGTCAACCGTTCCGACGGTGTCATCCACGGCATCGAACAGCTCTTGATCCCCCGATCCGTACAACAAGATTTCAACAACCGTAGAAGCCTCCGCTCGATCTCCGCCGTGAAACCGGAAGGAGCTCCGGAAGTCGACCCCAGAACCCACCGCTTGAAAAAACCGGCCCCTCCAGTCAAGGCCGGCTCTCCGCCCGTCCTCCCAATCTATGACGCCATGGCTCCGGGCCCATCGCTAGCCCCGGCACCGGCTCCGGGACCCGGCGGACCCCACCACCATTTCAATGGGATGAGGCAAGTCAAAGATTTCATACAGACTCTGCTACAATACGGCGGGTACAACGAAATGGCGGACATTTTAGTGAACTTAACATCATTAGCCACCGAAATGGGTCGCCTGGTTTCCGAGGGCTACGTTTTAACGGTTTTAGCACCCAACGACGAGGCAATGGCGAAGCTGACGACGGACCAGCTGAGTGAACCCGGCGCGCCGGAACAAATCATATATTACCACATAATCCCAGAGTACCAGACCGAGGAAAGTATGTACAACGCTGTGAGGAGATTCGGGAAAGTTTCATACGATACATTGAGATTGCCCCATAAAGTATTGGCTCAGGAAGCTGATGGGTCTGTTAGATTCGGCCATACCGATGGATCTGCGTATTTGTTCGACCCCGACATTTACACCGACGGAAGGATCTCCGTTCAGGGTATCGACGGCGTTCTTCTCCCGCCGGAGGACAAAGCTAAGGAAGAAAAGAAAACCATCAAAATAGCCACCGTCAAACCCAGAAGAGGTAAATTTCATTACCATCATCATCATTTTACATTAAATTGACTGCTAAATTATCATTGATTAATTCTTTTAACTTAATCAAGAACATGCTCATGTATTTAGTGGATTAATTTTATGTTTGAAAGATGAACTGTTGCTTTCTGTGAAATAATTTAGCTTCATATTCTCTTGTAATTTCATATGACTATGACTTGATATTGTTTTCTAGCTTTACACCAACCTGGTTGGTGGAAGGGAAATTTATGGTTTACACATTTCATTCTTTATTGCAATTTCCATTTTATATATTTGAATGACTTGACTCTTCACCACCTTTCTCCCTAACCTTGTTTTCATTAACTGGTTATATGATAGTGGTTTAGGTATAAATACATATTTGACATTAGTATTTAAAGGGTCGTAACGATACACGAATATGTGTTTGACACGAATATTAGATTCTTCAAATAAAATGAAAGTCCGAGATGAAATGTAAGATCATTGCTAATATTTATCCACTTGAAATTGAAAATCAACTACCCTTTCTGGTTACATTTTAGAAGTAGGACATAGGTGGAGGCCTCTTCTCTATGATTATTTAATTAAAAGAAACAATACGAGTTTTATTAAATCAGAAAAAATCTAAGGAATTGTCGATTAATTCTTAATTCAGTTGGTATCGTTGTTGTTGTATCATCTAATAGGGCATGGATTCGAGTGTTTAAGCATGTAATAGCGTTTGATTTAAGGGGCTTTAAGTTTTAAGCAATTATGAGAATTTGTAGTTGTCTTTAAGAGTTTTGATGAGTCAAGTGATGCCAAGTTAAAACATGCTGAATTTTTATTTGAAAATTAAGTGTCGGTAAGGGAATATATATATATATATATATATATATATATATATATATATATATATATATATATATCTTTGCAGTTGGTGTTTTGGAATTAGTTGGAATGAAAGTTGCAGCATAACAACAATATAATTTTGTTTTGACTTTGGAGGAATCTTGACCGCCCATTGTTTCACCAAGCATTTCTTTACTCTCATGTTTGTTTTCTTGCTATAGAATTATCATTCTAACATTTTACTCGCCATTAGCTGTCATTCCATTAATCTAATGGTTGAGATTCATTAAAATACTGAGCTATTTTGTACCTCAACCATTAGATTCATCACTTTTTCATCCTTACCAAATGGTGTGTTAGTTAAGTTCTATGTTACTCGGATTTGGGGTTTGTGTCGGATATGGATATATGTTCATTGTACACGTTGTGTTGAACTCGTATGCTCGTATACTTTAAGAAAAATGAAGAGTTTGATGTTAAGTCAATCACTGCTTCTAACTTCAATAAGATGGGAAGTTGTTTTCATGAAGTTAATACGTAGCTTTCAGTTTGATCTTCCTTATTTAATATGGAAAAATGTGGTTGGGGCCTAATATTTTTTATTTCCTAAATGTTTTGGCAGGGAAGTTGCTCGAAGTCGCGTGCCGAATGCTCGAGGCGATCGGACAAGACTCCCCTTTCACCACTTGCCGACTGTGAACACAACAACCATCACTTCCCTGCATCATAAATAGAACTTCAAACAAAGAAAAGGTAAATTCCTCATTCTTACATAGTATAAACGCAACCATATCCGCATCGAATGCCAGATTTGTCTGAATTCGAATATCGGTATCTGCTTCAGATTGCATTAGTTTACAAGTCAATCTCATGTACTTATCATCTGTTCATCTGCATATGAATTTGTGCCATTGTTCACTGTATTCTGCAATAAAAAATTTTCTTTTTTCTTTTATGATGACAAATTCTCACAGCTCAATCCAGATACGTGCACACCCTGATAAAAAGTGCATGAATTGTCACATTATATAATTAATATATTGTTTTGTTTTGGGGGGTTCTATATTCTATGGTTCAAAAGGCAGCAAAAAGATCACCCTGGTTGGTTGCTGATATCCTCAAGTCTACAAGATTTTTGTATTCTGTCAAATTTATGTGTAATAATACGGTGGTTGTAACGGCGGCTGTGGCGACGACCTTCGTGGTGGTGCTGGCTGCTGTTGCTTGGTGAGGAGGGTATGGGAAGAGAGGGATTTAATTTTGTGAAGAAGGCCACCATGTAGGGTATCCTACTTGATAAAATATATATTACGTATAAATGTATTCCTTTTGACTTCACCATTTAAGAAAAATGAAATTGTAAGTAATATTTTCTTTTTGTGAAGACTCTCTCTTCCGGTTTTTTAATATTTATTTATTATAATTATTGATATTTAATCTGCATTCAATATTTTAAAAATTTAATGATGATTTTGACGTGTTATTATAAAATAATGTTATGTTATAATTAAAAAAATAAAAAATATCACGTCAACAGTTTTATTAATTATTAACAACGGAGTATCAAATTAAAATCTAGTTAGATATGATTTTGAAAAAAAAATGTTTGAGTACCAAAATAGAATAAAGGTAAAAGTTTAAGTACTAAATATATAATTTACCCCATTGATATTAATTATTATTTATAAAATTATGATTTTGATTATTTTCCAATTAAATTATTAACAATTAACCCTTTAAATAATAATTTTTCAAAGTAAAAGATCGAGTAAAATTTATTTGTAGCCGTTTATTAGATATTATAATAATGAATGCAATTCATTAAAATGTTTCTACAATTTAAAAAGGGTAAACTGTTGATTTAGTCACTTTTGTTTGAATTTTATAAACTTATGATCACTAGATTAAAAAAAATAAGTTTGGTCACTTACGTTATTGTTTTATTAAGATTTAATCACTGAGACGTTAGTTACCGTGAGTTGGATGATGTGACACGTTAGTAAATTTTTTTTACTTTAACCCTTAAATTTTAGATAAATTACTAATCATGGGCCTTTTTGTAAATCTATAATAGTTTAGGGATAAAATATCAAATTACACCTTTCTTTCCATATGTTTTCTTCCCCAGCCCCATCTTCTCCGACGCTTCCCCTGCTCATCTCAAAACAGCTTTTTATCTCTCATTTTGACTTTAGCATTTTCTTCTCCAAACATTTCTTCTTTTCTTCGAATCACCTGTTCTTGTATAAAAAAAAATCATTCCCTGGAAATATAAAACACAAACTTAAATATCAAACAATTTAACTACTTGATCTGGATTTTCACATTGAACCAACTTTTTTAATCGAATGGAAAACCAGTTTTTCCTCGGAACTCAAAAAATCCTCCATCACCAATGGCGATCCTGGTTTGAAAGGTTCGAAAGGAGTGAATTAAAGGAAAAGAAAAGCAGTTCCCAAAGCAGAAACAAACGAGAATTCAACAATCAACATCCCCATCAACAAATGCCGCAAAGGTAACAGTCTCAAACAATCCCAGTATACATGACATTGAAATTTTGTTTTAAAACACCCAGTAATAATCTAATTCATCAATTTCCAGGCGACTGAACAAAATGAAGAATCAAACGAGAAGCAATGTAAGTCAACTGAAGCCAATGACACAAAGCCACCTGAGCTTCCCAAAGACTACATTCACGTTAGAGCAAGAAGGGGACAAGCCACCGATAGCCATAGCTTAGCTGAAAGAGTGAGAATCACAAAACCCAGTTTTCTTTTCTCTCTCTTAATTCAAAGCATCCAAAGCAGTTTACATTGACTCTTATATTATCTATCATTTCATAGGTCCGTAGAGAGAAAATCAGTGAGAGAATGAAGCTTCTGCAGAATCTTGTTCCTGGTTGCAACAAGGTCTGGAATTTGTCTTAGGAAAAAACAAAACAAAACAAAATGGTAAAATTATGGCTGTAATTCTAAAACATGATGGTGTTGGACTTTCCAACTTGTAGGTGATTGGAAAAGCCTTAATGCTGGATGAAATTATAAACTACGTTCAATCATTGCAGCGTGCGGCGGAGAAAAGGGGGGGGGGGGGGTTGAGAAGAAAAGCATATGGAAAAAAGGGGTAAATTGTTATTTTATCGCTAAACTATTTTGGATTTACAAAATGACCTATAAATAGTAATTTATTTAAAGTTTAAGGGTTAAAATAAAAATTAAATCTTTTTACTAACGTGTCATGTCATCCAACTCACTGCACCTAATGTCTCAAGAACCAAATCTTAATAAAACGATATGGTGCTTCTTTGATGAGTCATGAGTCCATTAATTATTACAAGTTACAAAATGATCATTCAACCATTCATATGTTCTAAATCTATTATTTTTCGTTAAATAATTGGTGATTGTATGAGTTAGACGTTAATCTATTAATTTTGATATGAAAAATATGTTTTATAATCATATAAGTTTTATTTTGTGGATCGAAACTTCGTTTATATTATGTCGTCGAGCTAGTGTTTAAAATATTATATCGTTGAGTCAATGCTTGAAAGTAATGACAGTGTCAATAAACATCATTAAAATATAATTTTATCGTATCTTAGTTAGCAGGTAACATCCAACTCATATGATAGTCAATTTTTTAACCAAACAAGATGAATTTGAAATATATAAATAATTGAATGATCATTTTGTAACTTTTAATAGCTTGAGGACTTAATAAAGTAACCTCTTATATCAAAAGATCATTTTGTAACTTTAATTATCATAAAACTCAATAAAATAATAGTGTCATTTATGTACTTTACCTAAAATAATAATTTAGTTTATAATTTAAAAAGAATGAAAAGTTTATAATTACACAATTCGACCCGAGAATAAGGAGTCCTCCACCCGAGACCCGACCTAATCCGATCAAAATAAGTTTTCACCCGATCTGATATATAACTTAAAAGTTTGACCCGACCCGAAATAGTAAAAAAATATTTTTATTCAATAAAAATAATGTCTTAATTGAAAAATAATATATAGAGGGATACTATTTAATTATTCCTAAATATATAATATAAAATATATTTTTTTGAATTAAATATTTTTTACCATAAACGACCCCAACTCAAATCCGATTTTTTAAAAATAAACCGACCCGATTGGGTCGGATAGGAACCAGTCGGGTTGGGGGACAACACAAAATATCTTAAAAGTGTAGGTCCCTCACGCAATCTCCAGTGACGAGTCATTTGTTGTAATGTCTGATTTTGACACGTCACTGATTTTGTAGCATTCCTAACACTTGCTTTAACTTGTCAAAACAATCTGATTTCCCCCACAGAGCAGAGGAAGTCGAGTTCAAACTGATTCCCCGTCCAGCGTCGCCATGAAAGAGTTCCAATCCAACCCGGATCGCCAGATGGAGTTGACGCCGTACATGAAACCCATTTCCGGTTCTCTCGGTGGAATCGTCGAAGCCTGTTATCGAGATGGAGGGGAGGAGGTGAAGTATAGGCCTACAGGGGGTGTTCCATGCTATCCGAACGACTGCGTCGGCTCATGAGGACACCACCTAGCCAGGCCATAATGTGGGGTGTTGCCGACCAAAATAACCGGCCTTTACGAGAGGAGTCGCCTTCGTTCCGCACCTTTATAGACTCGTTTTTTTCTGCTTGTTCTGGTTTCGAATGCCATAGCACAGCATCGAGTTGATGTGGTGCTACTTTCTTCAACCATTCTTTTCAGTGCTTGCTATCGGCTCTCTGTCATACCATGTTTAAGTCAAAGAGCTAGGTGAATTCTTAGTTTGATAGCTATATTGTTGGCCTAGTATGAAATCCACATTTTGATGTAGCTGTGGGTTTCTATAACATTGACCACAAGTAAAAGTACGTAGTTTTATCATTGTTAATTATCATTTTCTCGGTTTTGGGTGTGAGGGTCGAATTCGGATATGATCAAAACTTTTAAAGTTTTTTATGTAGTTGGAGAGGATTCATGGAGATCATATCACTGTATCCATGCGTAGCAAGAGGAAGAAAGAGAAGTTATGGCTATGCCCACCAGTTGCTGCGAGGAAGGAGAAGCAGATGGAGACTTTTAGGGCTGCTCTCGGAATTTGAGTGTCTGAATCCGGGCTTCCTCCTTTGTCGAGTCGAACATGCCTTTCTGAATAGACATCCACTCGTTTTTGCTGCATTGGATGTGGATGATCTTAAGCCCCACTACTTCATTGCCCAGTTGTTCATCAATTCAATATGAAAAATATTAGTTCAGCTTAAATCCAAAATGAAGCATGCAGATAAGTTGAGTTTAATGAGTTTGAAACTAGTGGTGCAAAGGGCAAACAAAGTCTGATTTGGTTAAAGCAAAATGCCAAAATCAATTACATTAACAGTCTGCATTGGATGTGGATGTTCCTTTCTTTGCACCTGCATTTTGGGTTTAAGCTGAACTAATATTTTTTATATTTTAAAAATTTGCTAGAACTTTTCATTTTTAATGCAAAAGTTCCTATCAAAATTTGGAAGAGTATGTTTTAACTAGATGTTTACATAATAAATAGATTAATTTCTTATGTTCTCTCAGGAAAACATCATTTGAATTGAATGGAGGATATATAAGTCCCATGCTTGTAGGTCTCATAACTTGTGCATACAATATTTCTTTTATCTCTGAAGTCGAAAAGACGAAGAGTGAGAGGGTTTTTCTTTATTTGCTTTTAGTCAGTTTAGTTGTGCAGTATCGTTTTGTTGGTCAGAGCGCCAAGTTTTAATTGTTTTTCTCTCCTCGTTTATGAATAATAAAACCCAGCTTACAAGTTCGAGAAAAGAGGTAGCATAAAGGCCAAGTAGTTTAAGGGTCATCAAAGACGTCTATAAGAAAAGAGAGGACAATTGTGTTGTGAATATTTGTAGAATGCATGCTTGGAAACCCTGAATTTTCTTCCACTCCACGTTCTGCAGATTGAGCACCACGTTCTCTGATAATGGAAGGTATTAGCAAACATGTATTATACCATTCTACGTATATTATCTTTCCCTCACGTTTTGTTTTGCTCTCCCAAATTCTAATCATTCCAAGGAAATGTATAAAACCTTCTCTTATTATGTTTGAAAATTTGAGTGCAGTGAATAGAAAGTATGGGTCTAATCTTCCCAAGGATATATGGAGGGTTGAAATTTTGAAAGCAGTGGATGACAGTAAGTCTCAGTCTTAGGATGTTAATGGACAAATAGCAAAAGTGACTTGGAGGATTGAGAATTTCTCCAGAATCAAAGACAAAGAGCAATTGCTCTACTCTGAACATTTTACTGTCGATGGCAACAAATGGTAGCTTTGATTTTCCTTCATCTTGTGGCCTATGTTTTAATTTACATTTCATCTCCCATGACTAAGATTTGCAAACTTATTTGGCAGGCAAATACTTATCTACCCCAAGTGGAATAACGTGAATTATCTGTCAATTAACCTATATGTTCCAGATTCAGAAACTTTGCCTTTAGGATGGAGTAGATTTGGCCAATACGGATTTGCAGTCATTGACCAAATTGATCGCCAAAATTCCACTACCAAAGGTATTTTGTTACAGCAAACCCAGTAGAAAGATGCCAAATTTGCTATCAAATTCAATGCCATACTTTCTTCTTAGAATCTGTAATTAGCTTGTTTACTCAGCTGTTAGGTGATGATGGACGATCTTTCTTTTGGCAGTCACTAAGCATTGGTTAAAAAGAAATGCGAGTGGTCGCAGCTTCATTTTTTTCTTTGTTCATTTATACGACCCAAAAAGAGGGTATCTCGTCAATGATGCATGCATAGTTTAAGCTTACATTTTCACTGATAGGACTCAAGGTCTCATTTCACATGAATTCATGCTCAAACCTGTTTTGGCTAAACATAAGATCAAGGAAGCTGATCTTGCAAAGAAGCCATAGACAACCAGAAAACTTCAAAAACCGAACCAGTAGAAACCACAACTCCTCCACCGACATAGCCTTCTTGCCAGATTGTTGTAAGTCAGGTAAATTAGTTGTTAATATTAATTCATTCAATTATCTCTCTCATTGCTTTCTTTTTCGCCATTTCAGGCCAATGAATCTGAAGATCCTACCGAGGAAGATATAAAGACATTCTTTACTAGCTTAGAGACTGAGCTTTCAAGCTCTGACATTGTTTTTTTCTAAAGAAGCAAAGGAAGCACTGGCTAAACTAGATGAAGCCTTGAATATGACCCCAGCTAGTTTCCATGATTCAGGGAAGTTTTCTTCACTTAAACAGGCATTCAAGATCCTAGCTAGTTTTGATTGTTCCTCTACCACCCTTACAATAGAGCAGAACTTGCGGCCCTATTGGCTGGACGAAAGGGGATATTCAGAAGTTCCAAGGAAATGAAAAAGGAGTTGGAAGCATTGGGAAAGGAGTATGAGGGTAATGCCAAGGCTGCTGAGGAGGAAGAGAGAACCGCTGAGATAGAATGGGGAAGAATGAAAGATTTCATCTCTTCTATAAAAGGAAAAAATATAAAAACTGTTGTAGTATATGGTGTTTTGAGAAAAGACTTTTATGGTCCTTTTGGTGGAATTAAACTTTGTAATGAACCTGCTGCTGCTGCTGGTTTATCCCCATTTTTGTTAGCTGATGCTACTGGAGAATCGGTGTATGAAACTATTGTTTAATTTGCGAAATTCTCCCTATATCCACAAAATACTACATATGCATACCTTTGTATATCTTGAGCTGTGTGGTGGTGTTAAACCCTACATGAAGTTCATGTTCTCTCTTTTCCCTTCTTAAATGTCCATTCATTTAAGAAGAATGGAGGACAAACTAAGGTAAGGCCGCAAATATCTAAGTATTTATCAAGTATTTAACGTGATTATATTAATTTTTTTAATTGTCATATTAGATTGATAATTTTTAAATAATCTGATTCATAGAATTAAAAGATTTACTGTTAAAATAGAAATTTTAAGTCTATGTAGTAAAAGAGTCAAAGAAGACTATATGAGAAAAGAGAAACTTGAATTGTAGATATTTTTAATCAAATTCTTGGAAACCCTGAATTTTCCTCCGCTAGCCTACATGATCTGCCGTTGGTATACGTAAATATGTATAGCTTCTACTTACATAATCTTTTCCTTTTCTTTCCCAGTTTCTAAACCCTTCAAAGTGAACGCTCTAAAATTTTGTTGCAGCAATCACATTTCTATAGAGCAAACAATTGATTATGGTTCTTTACATTCCTTGTTCTGCGTCCTTTACTGTTACAGTATCTTCTCTTGTGTTAATGGTTCCTACTACAATATTTTATATGCTTTCGGGACTGTGCTAGGGCTATAAACGAGCTAAGTCAAGTTTGAGTATTGTTGAATTCGACTTGAAAAGCTTAAATTAAAGCTTGAACTCAAAAAAAAAAATCTTAAACTTAATTACATTGAAGCTCGAACTTGAACATGAACATTAAGTACATGAAAATCTTATATTGTATTTTTTAAAAAAAAATTAACATATAAATGTTAATATTATCACTAATTTAATTTTAAAAAGTAAAATTTAATATATTATTTTTTAGTTATTCACGAGCTTTTTGAGTTGAATATTAAATAGTTCATTTTGACTCGTTAAAACTCGAGTCGAGCTTAAGTCAAATCTATTCAAGTCCAACATTAACCTAATTAAACTTAAATAACTCAGGATCTATCCTATCTCTCATTCATAGTCCTTGGCTGAGTATTTATTTTGTGCATTCCCCTTGAGAGTTGACTTAGTGGTGAATGTTTGACCTTTCCAAGTACATATATAAAATGGAACGAGGCATGAAACGAAGCCACGAAGAAGTTCCGAATTCATATTGATCGTCGGTTGAGAAAAAGAATTCAACTCTATGAAACTTAAAAATGTTGGGAGTAAAATACATAAATGACCTATGACCATAAGACGTTATTTTGTTGAATGTTTCGATTATTGAAAGTTATAAAATGATCTCATAACTATAAGACGATGTTTTGTTGAGTCATCCAACCATTAAAAGTTGCAAAATACTCATCAGACTATTCATATGCTCCAAACTCGTCCTTTTTCGTTAAAAAATTGATGATCGTCTGAGCTGGACGTTAATCTACTCATTGGATATGATAAAAATATGACCTCAGAATAATTTCAGTTGTATTTTGTAGATCAAATATCTATTTAGATTAGTCGTCGAGTCAATGCCTGAAACATCATACTGTCAAGCCAATTCTTTGAAGCTACAGTGGTGCTAGAAGACAACATTAAAATATGATTTTATCATATCTCAGTCATCATATTAATATCCAGCTCAGACAACTGTCAAACTTTTTACGGAAAATGATGAATTTAGAACATATGAATAGTCCAATGATAATTTTGTAACTTTTTATATCATAGGACTCAATAAAACAACGTCCTATAGTCAAATGATCACTTGGTACTTTACCCAAAAATGTTATTATACAATAATATTATTATTTAGTTTTTAATGGTAACCATCTAAAATAAAATAAAATATAACATTAAATATGAATTTATCAAAAAAAATAATTGAATAATAAAAAATACAAAATAAAATAAAATATTAAATAAGTAATTTATTCAAATAACATTATTTTCATATGAAATAGTTTTATACGCCCTATCAAGTACCAAAATTAATTTAGAATCTATAAATAATATTGTTTATACTAAATAATAGTTGTTTGTCTCATTAATAAAAAAAAGAAATTCTAAACATATATTACATTATAATCATCGTATACTAATAAATAGTTTAAAATCTACTTAGATATTTTAAAACATTTAGATAAAATATTAGAATTAAAAGATAATTAGACAAAAAAGATCTTTGCTCATTTAGAATATACGTTAAATTTATGTTATGAAAAAAATTATTTATATTTAAAAATGTAGAAAAGAATATATATATATATATATATATATATATATATATAAAAGATTAAACATAAAATTATTAAATATTAAATAAATTTTATATTTATAAAAATATATGTATGTCTAAAAAAAAGGGTAAAATTAGCTCAATTTTAGGGTTTTTTATTTAGTCCATTAAGACAAATTAATATTTATTTTGAGATATATGATTTTTTTACAGTGACATGAAATTCATTACATAGAGGTGATGAGTTTTAATAAAAAAATATTTTTTATTCTCAATTTTTATCTCATAAAATTTTAAAAATATATTTTTAAATAAAAATATTTTTTAAAAATTATCACTTCGACATGATGAGTTCTAATAATACCGTAAAAAATACAATAAATTTCAAAATAAATTTTAACTTACCTTAATAGATTAAATAAAAAACTCGTTATTATTAGACTAAATCAACCTTAAAAAAACTTATTTAAACTATTTAAACATGAAAAGAAACTTTATAGGAAAAGAAGAAGAAAAAAAAAGAGGTAGCTTAAAGGCTAAGCAGTTTAAGAGTAAACAAAGACTTTACAGGAAAAGAAAAGACTTTGAGTTGTGAATATTTGTAATCAAATCCGGAACGCAAGCTTGGAAACACTGAAATTTTCTTTCATTCCACGTTCTGCGGATAGAGCACCAGATTCTCTGATAATGGAAGGTATTAGCAAACATGCATAGCCTTCTACTTGTATAATCCTTCCTTTCCATTTTGTTTTGCTTTCCCAAAATTCTAATCATACCAAGTAAATGTCTAAAACCTTCTTCTTCTTTTTTATGTTTGAAAATTTGATTGCAGTGAATAACAAGTGCGGGTCTAATCTTCCCAAGGTTATATGGAAGGTTGAAATTTTGAAAGTAGTGGATGTTACTAAGTCTCAGTCTGAGGATGTTAATGGACAAGTAACAAAGGTCACTTGGAGGATTGAGAATTTCTCCAGAATCAAAGACAAAAAGCTCTACTCTGAAAATTTTATTGTTGATGGCAACAAATGGTAGCCTTGATTTTCCTTCTTGTCGCTTATGTTTTCATTTGCATTTTATTTTCCATTACTTATATTTGATAACTTATTTGGCAGGCGAATACTTATCTTTCCCAAGGGGAACAACGTGAATCATTTGTCAATTTATCTAGATGTTGCAGATTCAGAAAATTTACCTTATGGATGGAGTAGATTTGCCGGTTTCAGATTTGCAGTCATCGACCAAATTGATCGTACAACTTCCATTGCTAAAGGTATTTTGTTACAGCAGTCACATTTTGTCGTTGTTCGTTTTATTTATTTAATAGGTTTACCAATACGAGTAATATTTATTTGATTTTAAAGATGGTCATAGCATGGGAAAAAGAAGAAGGGTTTAGGAAAACAAAGTTGCTTATAATTTGGTTTCCTCATCAAAATCTCTTTGATTCCTCTTTTTCTGTTAAAATATAAAATGATAACCTCGAATTCCTAATGGCCATTTCGTATTATCTCCCGTTTGTTACACAATGTTTCAGCTTGTTTGAAGCTTTGGCATGGTTAAAACAGTCCAAGACAGATGCCAAATTTGTTATAAATGCTATTCTTTCTTCTTAGAATCTGTCATTAGCTTGTTTTCTCAAGTGGTTTGTGGTAAGAGACGCTCTTGCTTTTGGCAGACACTACGCATGAGTTCAAAGCTACGGAGTCTGATTGGGGGTTCACTTCTTTCTTACCACTTAGTGAATTAAAAGATCCTAAAAGAGGTTATCTCGTCGACGATGCATGCTTAGTTGAAGCCTATGTTTCCACTGATATTTCATATGTATTGATGGTCCAAACTGATTCGGATAAACATAAGACCGAGGAAGCTGATTGTGTTAAGGCAGCCGTAGACGACCAGAAAACTGTGAGTACCGAACCAATAGAAATCACAACTCCTGCACAAACTCAGCCTTCTTGCCAGATTGTTGTAAGTGGGGTAAATTAGTTGTTAAACATTAATCCATTCATGTATATTTTTCATTGTTTTCTTTTCCGCCATTTCAGGCCATTGAACCTGAAGATCCCACCGAGGAAGATATAAAGACATTCTTCACTAGCTTAGAGTCTGAGCTTTCAAACTCTGACACTGTTTTTTCTAAAGAAGAAGCAAAGGAAGCACTGGCTAAATTAGATGAAGCCTTGAGTATGACCCCAGTTGATTTCTACGATTCAGGGAAGTTTTCTTCACTCAAGCAGGCATTCAAGATCCTAGCTAGTTTTGATTGTTCCTCTACCACCCTTTCGGCTGAGCAGAAAAATGAGTTGTTGGCCATGGAGGAAAACTTGAAAGATCAAGTTGACCGAGCAGTGAAGGCAGTGCAGGACAAGAGCCGATTTACAGAGAAGGAATCTATCAAGCTGACAATTTCTCGTAATTTGGATCTTAATCTAATCAGATATAAGGAGGTGGAATCAGAGTTGAAACAGGTAGAGCAAAAACTTGCTGCCCTGTTGGCTGAACGAAAAGGGATATTCCAAGGTTCCAAGGAAATGAAAAAGGAGTTGGAAGCATTGGGAAAGGAATGGGCAGAATATGAGGGCAATGCCAAGGCAGCTGAGGAGGAAGAGAGAAGCGTCGAGGCAGAATGGGGAAGAATGAAGGATTTCATTTCTTCTATAAAAGGAAAGATATAGAAAGTGTTATAGTATTAGGTGTTTTGAACAAAGACTTATATGGTACTTTTGTTGGAATTAAACTTTGTAATGAACCTGCTGCTAGTTTATCTCCTGCATTGGTAGCTGATGCTACACCAGATATGATCAAAACTTATGGAAGTTTTATATATACTTGGAGGATTCATAGTGACCGTATCACTATATCAATGCGTCTGTGCTAAATTTTTTTTCCAGTTTCGTTAGGACTAATTGGGATTTTTGACTCTGATAGTTTATACATTCAACTCTGCTAATGAGATTTATAAAATAGTATCAGGGGGGTGGTGGCGCAGTTGGGCCTTAACTTGATTATCATGACAATAAATTTGTTTAAGTTAATAAATATGTAACAGTTGTAGAGCCGCAAAGGGGTGGTGGCGCAGTTGGCTAGCGCGTAGGTCTCATAGCTTAATGTTGAGTAATCCTGAGGTCGAGAGTTCGAGCCTCTCTCACCCCATTTAAACTTTTTTGCTGTTTCAACACCAACACTTGTTTCTCCTCCATTTACACTGGTTTTCAATTTATGTTGCCTATTCACATCAAGATTGACCCAACATTATTATAGTGTAAAATACAAATAAAACAAAAAATATGATTAAAGATTTTATATTTCCTATTTTATAAATTGATTTAAAAACCAATTACTAAACTCGTTTTTTTAATAATTTTAATATTTGTATCCCTTTTTGCGTAATTTTTTAAAGTAAAGTACATAAATAGTTTCAGATGTTGTTTTGTTTAATCCCGATTATTAAAAATTACAAAATAATCTCTTGACTATAGGTTATTATTTTGTTAAGTCCCTCGACTATTAAAAGTTATAAATCGGTCATTCGATTATTCATTATATTCAAACTCGTTCTTTTTCATTAAAATATTAATAGTCATCTAAAGTGGACATTAACATGTTAACTAAGATATGATAGTCGTTTAAGATTATGAAATCAGATTTTTTATTTCTCAATCAACATGTTTAACATCCAACTTAGATTGCCATAAATTTTTTAGTGAAAAAAAAACGAGTTTAGAACATATGAATACTTGAGTGATTATTTTATAATTTTTAATAATCGAGAATTCAACAAAATATCAAGCTATAATCGTGAGACCATTTGTCTACTTTACCCAATTTTCTATTGTAAAAGTTGCAGTTCATTCCTTGCTTATATTCATTTAACCACTAATTACTTTTAGATAACAAATCACTGATGACATGATATAATATTTTTTTAATATAATGTGCAGATTAAATGTCACTCATAAATTAGAAAATAATATATATTTAAATGCACTCAAACTCGTCCTCTTGAACTTTATAATATTTAAAAAAATAAAAATAAAAAAACAAAGTGAAACGACTGTTGATAGTCCATGAAAGCACAGATTCCTTTCAGCATGATGGAAGAAAATGGACAAGTGCTCCATGCAAAGCCTTACTATACAAATCTCAGTTCCCTCAAAAAATTGCCTAAACTTTTAATTCTTCTCTAAATTTGATGCTAAAGTTATTTTGTATGCCTTTCTTACCGGCACCGGCGATATTCCCGCCCTGCATCATCGCTACAAACTCATTGTAATCGATGAGTCCGTCCTGTTTACAAACAACGTAAAATGCAAGATTAGTGAATAATGGCATATTGGCAACAAAGTTCCCTTTTTTTTTAAAGTTTATTGCCAATGGATGCATTTAGGGTAATGGAAATGGCACCCTACAATCCTTCCCTTTCGTTCTTCTGGTCAACTATAAGATGAAATATTCGAATTAAAATAAAAAAGTTAAAACAAGGCCACTTGCATTATCCTGATCAACTTCTCTGATCATTTCTTCAAGGATGCCAAACTCCTCGCAAGCTTGTTGGAGCTCATCCGGAGTGATGTTTCCACTGCCATCCTTGTGAAAATAGGAAAAGGCGGCAAACAGATGGTCTTCTCTCTCGATTTTGTTTAGGTGCAGCGTCGCAGCTACGAATTCCCCGTAGTCGATCGTGCCACTATTATCAACATCAGCCTGTATGGTTGAAGACATTTGCATTAGAGACAACTTGTCATTGCTTATTCCCAATTAATTTAGTATTATGTACAGAACAAAGATCATAAATTGGGTCTTATACTTACTGCTTGCAAAAGATCATAAATTTCAGACTCTTTAAGATTAGCTCCAACTCTTTTCAATCCTGCTTTAAGTTCTTCGAAGGTGATCTGACCACTGCCGTCGGCATCTATCATCTTGAACATTTCCTTCAGGCCAGCTATTTCTTCTTCGGATAGGCTCTCTGCGATTACCTGCAAGGGAAAATAAAGAAAATTACAGTTCAAAATAACTAGAAACTCTAAAGAATTAAGTTTTAAACATAAACATTATGATGAATGGGTTTCATACTGAGTATCCACTCGAATGTCTAAGCCTAGCATGTTGAGAGACTTACTCTAAGGGCCATTTTCTTCAGCTTATTCATTGCAGAAAATTGCTTCATACGACTTAAAACAGCAGAATCGAGAGGCTTGTCAGGACCAACACCGTCAATCTGTATCCAAGGGTGGCCTGCATAGGTTTTGAGCAATAGTAGCAACAGAAAAAATGATTCAGCTTCTTTTACCTCTTGGACCAAACAGAAAAAGGCAAAAGCACTAACAAAATGGAGACTTAATCCTAAGAGTTCTATGGTAACAAAAAAGCTGGACCGGAGTAAAAGAATGTGACTTACACAAAACTTCATGTGCAGTTAACCACCTCCTAGGGTCTCGAATGAGCATTCTCCTCACCAAATCTTTTGCGCTTTCAGAGATGCTAGGCCAAGGATCAGAATCAAAATCAAGGTCACCATTCAAGACCTCTTTGAATATACCTTGCTCGTTTTCTAGATCATGACCGTGAAGATCGAATCATAATCATGATGATGTAAAAACGGGCAGCTAAAATAATTGCACTTGGCTAAATTAAAAATGGAGAAAATCTTATGAATCAGAAGATTCCTTACCTGCCCAAAAAGGAGGAACTCCACTTAAGAGAATATAAAGAATTACTCCTGCACTCCGTACATCTGCTTCTGGGCCATAACGCTTTCGTAAGACTTCAGGGGCAACGTAGTATGGGCTTCCGACCACATCTGTGAATCTTGCACCTGCACAGAAATGGTGACCAAGAGAATTAAAAGTGTTACTTAATTCCTCTATTGGTGATGATAAATCACAAGTGGGGTCAAACTTTTTTGTGTTTTTGCTATATTGACAATGCAAATTGAAAATAAAAGCTCTATAAATAAATATTTTGCAAGCAAACCAATGGAAAGCTAGTAAATTTCATGTCAATGCTAGTAGCAGAATATCATCATAGAGCTAGTAAATTTTACAAGGCATTGTAATGCAATATCACATTTCTGACAGAAATTGCTTGCATGAATAAGCTCTCCCTAGCAAAGAATTTCTTAATTTTGAACCATGCATTTTAATCGGTAAATGAAGATCGTTACTCTAAATCATTTACGAGGGGCATACCAATTGAGCGATTACATGCTTGACTCAGTAGTTTATCCTCCAATTGTTTTCTTTCTTCTTATTTTTGGGTAATTGGAAGAGAATAAGATCAAACAGCTTATACCTGGCTTAAAGAATATCGATAATCCAAAATCAATAGCCTTGAGAAGTGATTCCTCCTGCTGATTGACAAAAAGGAAATTCTTAGGTTTGAGGTCTCTGTGCATAACCCCCAAAGAATGGCAGGCTTCCACAACCCCGACTATAGTCCTCATAAGTGCAGCTGCCTTTCTTTCTGTATAATGTCCGTGCTGAATAATTCTATCAAAAAGCTCTCCACCAGCACACAACTCCATTACAACATGAACTGCCACTGCATCCTCATAAGCTCCTTTTATAGATATAACATTTGGATGCCCGGCCAAGTGGTGCATTATCTGGATTTCTCTTCTCACATCCTCGAAATCCTCATCAGTTAACAACTTCCTCTTTGCAATCAATTTGCAAGCATATTATTTTCCAGTTGACTTCTCCACAGAAAGGAAAGTCGTCCCGAATTGCCCTTGTCCTAGTTTTCTCCCCAGGCTGTAATGTTCCTTGAAAATACCAGTCCTTGTTTGTAATACTGATTCCTTGAGCCCTGCACTGGGCACCCTCTTCATATGAGGGAGCTTGGGTTTTAACGGTTTTTCAGGTTCAGTTTCTGGTTTAGCCTCTTGTTTGGTCTCCGGTTTAGGCATTGTCACTTGCTCTGGAGGTTTGTTTAGGACTGGTAATGACGATTCAGGCTCTCTAGTTGCCATCTCACTCCCGGTTTCCCCATTAGAATGAGAAACAGAGTCATCCGGTGATCGAGACCGCCACATTGCGGCGGAAACCGATTGGAAAAATCCATTTTTGGAAATGTTTGGTCCTACACAAGTATTCCCCATCTACTCTCAACACTTGAAATTCCTACTTCAAAAATACAATCACCAGGTTTATCATCAATATCTAGAAACAAAAGATGGGCCAATCACATATAAAAGATCTGATCTTCCTAACAAGAACAAAACTCCCTATAATCTTTACATCAAAATCAAACTAGAGTGTAGCTTACAAACACGAACTAAAATATGATACCAAAAGAGAAGAATTATCACTTACCTCCAAACTTCAAAAACTATCCATTAAAAAAAGAAACTAACGATTGAAGAAGCAAGATTTAAGAACCTGAGCTGCTGAAACAAGAAAAAAAAAAGTCCTCACAATCGTAATCACCAACCATGCAAAGAAAAAAATACATATAAAGTCTTGGACCTCAAATTCAGTAATTGAAACCTTGAAAATCCAAGAAAGATCAGAAACAAAAAGAGAAAGAAACCCAGAAGAGTAAAGTTGAAGAGTAAAAAGGAAAACAACAACAACATGGGTTATGGTTTACCAGGTCTTGGGGTTTGGCGAAATGGTTGGAAACGGAAGAAGTAAACTTGGCCGTCTAATTCCCAAGTTTTACTACTGGAGAGAGTGTGGAAATGGAAAGTCTCTTCAAACTTTGTTTATATCTAAATCTGAAACATTTATTATTATATATTATTGCATTAAAATAACATGAAATAAAAGAGAAGGAGAATGAGGAAGAGGCTTGAACTTGTGTTTGGACATGATTGAAAGAAAACGCGTATGCCCGAAGCTGCTCTCAACCTAGTGTTGGGCAGCCTACTATCTTACCTCCCCTTACCCTATTACATATGGGAACAAGGGACAATTATTTTTTTTTTATATCGTGGTTGTCGCTTGATTGTAATACTAATTGAAAGCTTTGTTAACTTTGTTTTTGGGTCCATTTTCTTTTTATATTGAAAACGTGATTTTATATTAGTAATTCTTATTAATATAATTAAATTTAAATAAATATATATTAAATTATCTATATTATATTAGAATTGAAATAAAAACTTTAGATAAAATATATTAGATGTTATTAAACTATGATCAAATGATCATTTTGAGTTTTTGATGATTGAACTTTAAAAATTACATCATGATTTATTAAAATTATCAAATTATATTATCATCGTGACATTATAATAAATATAAATATTTAATAAAATTAATGTTCAAGATAATTATTTTTTTATTAACCTGAGATAAGTACAATATAATATATATTTAAAGATAACTTTCAATCATTTAACATTAATCGTTTGTATCTCTAGCATTAATAGTTCTCAAACTTAGTGAAATGGGTTATCTACCTAAACTATATACAATTGGTGTTTTCGTTCTTTATCGTTTTGATATTTATATATATTGGTATTTGCATGTTTCAATGAATTATTTTGTATTATATTATAAATTTAATTCTAGATTTTAATAAAATACTTATACATCATACACAAATATAAATGCATCTTTCAAAAAATTACAAATACATAAAACAACATATTGTGTGTAAATATAAAATCCAAAATTGTTAATAAGTTAAACCATCTTAATATAATGTTACTTTTTAAACATGTGATGATCATCAAATAAATGTCAAATTATATAAATAATCCAAACCAGCTTAATATAATGTTACTTTTTAAACATGTGATGATCAACAAATAAATGTCAAATTATATAAATAATCCCTATACTTGCTTAAGTTGCAAAATAAATCCTTTTGGTTTACGTAATTTCGATTTTACATCTCAGAGGTTTGAAAATCTCAATCCAATTGTAAGTTTGTCCTTTGCTTGGGTTTGAAAATCTCAAATCAAATTGTAATTTGTCCTTCCTTCTGGCATTAAATTGGATGGCGATATGGTTCCTCTCCTCCAACCCGATACTGAACAAAGATAACCCCAAATTCAATCCCAGTATTATATGGACCCTAATGAAAGAGTTGGACTGCAGGTCCGACTATCAAGGCTAGCCCAAACCAATCAGGGTTAGACTGTCGGTCCATCTAGATAGCCTCGAACAACCCAATCTAGTTGAAACTAGTCCTTGGACAAATGATGCCATTTGTAACTCATAAATAGATGCAATAATATTGCCAATTCAACTGAACTACCAGCGGTAGAAGTTAACTCTGCACAATATGTTCAAATGGGCAGGCCCCGTTCACCTTGCACCTCTATTGCATGCAGTGTCACGTAGTAGCCGACCAATCGAACTACGGAGAGATGCTCTAGGATCGGTAGGCACACCTAGTTCGTCCTCACCCTGTTGAGTATCAGAGTTTAGATGCTATAAAACATTACTAAAACTTCAGGGTAACAGGTTTTACCATGGCAGCTGTTGTATGTCCTGTGGGCACAGCAGGCAAATCGAGCTCTGCATCCAAATCCCGTTCCTCCTTATCAGGTTGAAGATAAGAGGGAACACCATTAGCTTCACTGTCATGTCAGTTTCCAGAGTATCAAGTTCTACAACCTAACATGGATCAGCATTAAAATTAAATGGTAAGGAAACAATAAGCAACATGCGAAACAGTCGCTAATTTTTTTCAAACATGCAATTATAAGTATAGGCCCTTAGTGTCGAGGTTATGCCACTGATTATGAGGCAAAGCTGGTGACTTAAGATAGATTACCACCCATTAGTTCTTCCTCATCAATATCATCGGGAACATTATAGCTTCTACCTAAGGTCTCTTGGATCTCGCTACTCACATATTCAATGAAGGAACTTCTCCACAGCAACAAATGGTATATCTCCTACCTTTCATGAGGTAGGCAGCCGATTCCAAAAAGGGTACTGAAAAAGCTCCGACTGGATTGTCCTGATTTCTGCTCCTTTGACCAGAAACACAAACATTTACCGTAAAATACCATAGGTCCATAGCCCAATAAATCCACCATAGCATGGAATAAGTCATAACGTTTAATATTGAAATAAAGTCATAAACATTTAATGCTACTTGAAAATCGTTATAACAAGGAAATTGAACGCTTTCACATACTGTTTGTTGAGCATCCTTAAGACCCTTGGCTTGATCGAGGTTGAACATCTGACTGTAAAGCATATCACGTTGCCCTTCATACCTATCAGAATCCATAAGCATCAGATACAATGAAATAGAAATACTTCACTTTGTAAGATTTTGAACTTCAAGAAAATAATAGGTAAAAAATAAAAATGACACAAGGTGTAGAACAATTAAAACAATTAATTACACAATACTTAGAAATGACACAAATATTCAGAATCTTAAGCTGCAAATTTCAATTAACAGAAAAAAAAAGCATAGAACAATTACATAAGCATACATAATTCCATAAAGAAACATACCATATATAATGTCAAGCAAAAATTTTCCACACTACATTCGTAGAAACTAGACATGAATAAAAATAGCAATAATAATGAGAAAAATTAAGGAGGAAACTGGCAGAAAAGAAGCAGGTACACTCGTTTTTGCTTGAGAATCCTCATGGCTCGAGCTTTAATAGCCTCTTGAGCAGGGCCAGGTCTTGTCTTCTTTATTTGTTCTTTGTACCTAATCAGCTCAGCATCCAGCTTCCTCAACTTCTCATCTACATTGTCCCCTCTTTTATTTATCTGATCGCCAAATTTCCATCGCATCCATATTATTTCACAATTTAATAAAGTTTTCAAAATAAACTGATCAATCAAACAGATAAACCCTAATGCTAAGTTAGAAATCAACAGATCAAACGAAAATTTAAAAAAAAAAAACAAAAATTCAAAGCAGTGAGTAAAAGAGAGAGAAACCCTATCGGAGGCATCTTGAATAGACGCTGACGGTTCCTTGTCTTTCCTAACGCCGAAGACTCTCTTCATCTTCTTTACTTATGAGCGAAAGAGAGGAAAAGGGCTTCAAAATTGATTTTGGAGGATCGGCGGAGAATAATAAGAGCTGCTTTAGAGATTGCTTTCCTTATCTCACAACCAGTACGGCCATACCCTTAACTTATGCGTAAAATACACAATAGTCACTAATATTTGAGTACATTTTCGTTTTTCACACTAAAGTTTCAAATATAATGAAACTGGTCACTAATATTATCAATTTATAACAAATCGGTCATTAGACGTTAAACACCGTTACTGAAGTGACGAAAACTTATGTGATCCGTTAACTACTTACCAAAAAACTTTCTTCATCATACTCTCTCTTCCTCAAGTCTCCTGTTCTACTTTTTCTAATATAAAAAACCTTCTCTTTGTTACCATGCAACATCAAGATGGTATTGCTTTCTTATTCATTATTTAACTTTAAAAAGGTAGACAAACGAGGATTCACTAATATACATGGTGTTGAGGTTTTGGGTCAATCAAAGTGAAAGGGAGGCGCGAGTTTTCTTGGTCTGGTGGAGGCTGACAGACAGAAAGTAAATGGTTTTGCGCTCTTGTACGACATCTTAAACGCTGTCTAAAGTTCGTTTAGCAGTAGCTTGACAATACTGCTAGTTGTGAAATATTGGAACTGTTTCGCATCCCTTGGTCTGATAATATCCCTTCAAAGAACTTATCATCTTCATCTTGTAGCAATGACTCGTAACTCATTGCTTTTGATGTAAGAGCGCTTAGATTTTGATTGCTAGAAGTCGGCAGTGTATTCAATGGCTGGTTGTTTTCGCTTTACAAAGGGATTTCACTATCCTCTATTGACGAGAGTTTGATCGACAAGCTCAGGGATTGTTTCCTTTCTTGCATGTTATTGGAAATATCCTGTCTTCAACAAAAAGTTTAATATTGAATCGTTTTCTTTTAGACCATCCATGGATGAAGAATGATGAATCTTGTCAAGAAGAATCAAGTGAGGTCGTATACTAAAGTTGTGGGGAGTTTTCATAGTGGCTCATTTTCCATGTCTAGGGATCAGGATATCAGCTTTGGTGCTTGTTCAGTCACCCACCTTAACCTTGCATAACATCATTTTCTTCTTCCTTGATGTGAAAATAAGCCTGGAGTATAGAGGGTGAAGATTGAAGAGAAATGCTGGTCAAAAAGGCTATTCCACGTGGTCAAATGAGGCCAAACAAATCAGACTAACGTGCATTTTACAGTTAATTTCTAGTTAAAGATTTATATAAATCGATAATATTAGTGATTAATTCATCAGTTTTAAAACTTTAATATGAAAACAAAATTTACTTAAACATTAATGACTATTTATACAATTTTCCCTTAATTTATCAACTGATCATTTATTTTATTAATTATTACAATAAATCATACAATTGTACTAAAATATTACTCTAGTTATGTCTTTAAGGATAAAATAAAATATTTATAACAATTGATTGATTAAATATTTTATTTATAACTTTTTAAAGGTTAAATTAGACGGGTGGTCCCTCATGTTTCCGCTCCATCTAATTTTGGTCACCAATCCAAGAAAATAATGATTTTGGTCTTTTATGTTATCGGTCCATTTGGTTTTAGTCCATCGGTCGTTTACTCCCGTTAACTCATTAACGAGAGTCTAAATTGATAATTATTATTTTTAAATATCCACGTGTTTTCTTCTTCTTCTTCACTGCCTAATACAATAAGATTTGTTCCAAGGGCAGTCTAGTCTACTTCTTAGTCACAATTAATTAGAGATAATTCTGTTATTTCAGGATGTGAAATCTCTCGAAAAAGTTCCTGATCCAAGTATTGAATCTATGATCCTGCAGTTTGTTCCAGAAATTCAGTCGGGTAGCTTTGCGGATATCGAACCCAGAAGATAAATGGAAGATGAACACAATAGAATAGACGATCTAATCTTCACATGTGGGATCCCTTTTCAAGTTCCCAAAGCCTAGTGCTTTTTATGGGGTAATTTTTAACTTTTGGCTTGTGTTGCTACTGCCCTGCCTTAATCTTATGACTTTGAATGATTCGTTACTAACTTAGGTTTTGTTTTCCATGCAGGGTGTTTGATGGTCATGTAGGCCCTGAAGCGGCCGCTTACATAAGGAAACACGCCCTTCCATTCATGGCTTTGCTTCTTGTTCATTCGCTCGAGATCTTTTTAATACTTGATTTTCTGGGATTTTAGGTTCTAATGGTGGCCAATGTTGGCGATTGCTGAGCAGTTCTCTGTCTGAAAGGGGAGGCAATTCTAAGGGCTACCCACACCTATCATGTTGTATTATTAGGAGAGGAAGAAGGAAAAAAACATGTAGATTTATTTATTTATTAATTAATTGTCAATTTAGACTTTTTTTTAATGGGTTAATGAGAGTCAAAGGTCGAGAGACTAAAACCAAACGGATATATAATATAAGAGATCAAAACCGTTCTTTTTCTGAATCATTAATCAAAATCGAACAAACTGAAAACATAAAGTATCACCCGTAGTTTACCTTTTTTAATTTATTTACTCATTAGCAATTTTTTACTCCTAATATATTTGCCTTAACCTAGTCGCTTGCCCTTCTTTTCTTCTTTGCTTAGCAGGCGGTTACACTAATTTTAGTGTTAGATCACTGATAGCCTATATTCCTTATTTGTTTATATTTTATATCACATATTATCTTTCTTGAATTTTTTTAATTTTCAATATCTCTACCTTTATGACACGTCTTTTGTCATTATAACAAATTTTTATCTGTCCTTTGACACATTTTATTTTATTTTTTGTTCATTTGATCGTTTTTTCTTTCATTTAAATTTTCAATATTGGATTTAACATCATCATAACTGATCAAGATGTCACTTATTTACTATTCTACTGATCGTCGTGCTTGGATACATGATTTACGTTCATAAATAGTTTTCTCACAACGTTTGATTGTGATGTTGTTGTCAATGGTATTTCAATAGTTTAATTATCTATTGTGATTGTTACCGATGCAATAAGATTTGTTTGTTCTTTTGTTCAAGTTTTAGATGGGTTTTTAACTTTTCTTGTATAATATTTCTATGATCTCGAGTGATTGATTTATCTTATGTTATTCGTCATAAAAAACTATTAACTATCTTAATATTATTATTAATAAGAGTCTTTTTATATATTATAATAAAAAAATAATATTTGTTGTATTATTTTCACTCTTTAATACACGACGATGGTCCATTGATTTTTTTATAACTATCAATATTTGATATATTAATCGACTAATTCAGATTGAATATTATAAAGACAAAATCGATAATTGCAATCGGATCGATCGTCGGTGTCAATAGTCCATTAATAAGGAGGGAATGAAGAAAACTTGAACCTAATTTTCTATAATGATAAGTATAAGGACAACTGAAATTTTTTAAAGAGATGATTTTTATATTAATAAGATCTCACTATTTCATACTTTTTTATCTCTCTTTTAAATAAAATATATAATTAAAAGAAATTATGAACCAAAATAGAAAAAACATATTTTACTCGTAATTGTTAATTTTCGTTCGAACTCAAATTAATCTATTTTATTTTTAACTCAAAATCAAATAATTTAACATAATACACGTGCCTAAATATGTTAAACCAACAAAAGTACAAAACTCATCTGTTTTATTTTGATTACTTAATATTTCTATTTGTAGTTACGCATTGTGTATAATATTTATTAATTATTAATTGATTTAAAAGGGTGTGAGATATTAGATTTTTCAATATTATTATAAATTTAAATATTAACATTAATGAAATTGATTTAAGTGGTAAGCAGTTTGATATCGTTTAAGTATGTTTGAAGTTTGAATCATTGTATATAAAAAAATTTATGTCACATGATTCACCTACTAAAGTCAATTGTACCACATAAGCCTATATGCATTAATCATAATATTTTTTAAAAAAAAAAAGATTAATCATAGTAAAACCTTAAGAATCGGGACACAATAAAAAAATAATTTAAATATTAATATTATAAATAAAATAAATTTTGTTAAAAAATTACTTCCGTAATTAATATTTACTGTTTTTTTCTGAATTAATTAAAGAATAAGTGATTATAAAAATATATAATATTTTTAAAGCCAAAAACCCTATCGGAACTGGATATGGTCATTGCCATGGAATCTACCTTCCGCCCCAACTCTATCGTCTTCATCCCTTTAAAATGACAAATAAATCAATAAATTATAGAACACCTAGCCTCTGACTGAGAGAATCTGTCCCACCACCACCATCCCACCACTTACTCCTTTTTTATTGATGTTTGTCTCTTTGTTCATTCATCCTTTTCTTCTACCTCGCTTCTCTGAAACTTCAACAAGTTTGTTGATTCAAAACCATGGAGTTCAGTAACTAAATCTCACTTTGTTGTTGTTGATTTGCCTTGAAAACGAAAACCCAAAGCAATGTTTCCATCTTCTTCTTTGTCGTCGTCTCCAATTGTTTACTCTTTGACCCTTTTCGTTTCACTATTCTTTCTCCTCTTCTGCACCCCTCAAATCCTTCATCCTCTCAGAAACCGCCACCGGGAACCGCTAATATCAGCCCGAGATGAACTCGACGATCTCAATCTCTTCCGTAAAGCCACCACTCGCTGCGGTTCTTCAAAGATTTCCCATCTACGTACTGTTAACCCCAAGCCCAAAATCGCTTTCCTTTTCCTCACGAACTCGGATCTCATCTTTGCTCCTTTGTGGCAAATTTTCTTTGAATCATCGGTAAACGATGGTCTCTTCAATGTCTACATCCACGTCGATCCGTCTGCTAAAATTTCAATCCCGGAATGGTTGATAAAAGCCAATTTCATCCCGGCCAAACCCACCGCACGCGCCTCCCCGACGCTCATCTCCGCCGCCCGGAGACTCATGGCCAACGCCATCATCGACGACCCGTTCAATTTGTACTTCGCGCTGGTATCCCAGCACTGTATCCCTCTCCATTCTTTTAAATTCATTTACACTTCCCTTTTCGGAAATCCATCGTCGGCATCCAAAGCGTTTTTGACCCAACGTTCTCATAAAAGCTACATCGAGAT